AATAGTAATTTTTTATGCTTTATGTATTAAGATTAATAGCTTCACATTTAATTACTAAAATTCATATACTTATATACGAATATTGATAGCAGATATATTAATTTAAAAAATTGTATTTTTAACATTGAAATGCTAAAAATAATATTTATAACTAAATTAGGATATTACAATTGAATACATTGAAGAAAATGAATTGGGACGATCTAGGAGGTACAGTTCTTCTAGTGATCAGGTAATAACAAATTAACATATTCCTTAATCGATTTTCTTACCAATCATACTAAAATTATTTGATAACTCATAAGATCAATTATTAAAAAATAGAGACATATACATATATATATATATATATATATATATATATATGTATACATGTAAAATTGTTTTTTAGAGAAGCTTTGATGAAATGCAACATACGCATGAAGAATATGATCCTGACAGAAGAAACGCAAATTATAATGCATCATCGTCACATCATTACTCACAAAATAATCAATATGCATATGAGGTCAGTCATGCATATCATCAAAATAAAAGTAAAACTGTTTAATAATTATTTCTGAAAGCAAATAACTATTAATAACAAACTATAACTATGCTGAACAGTTATTTTAATATGTTATATCTTAAACGCTTTTTATATTAGAGTAAAAATATGTGATTAATCCATTATTTTTATGTTATTTTAATTATATTAACCAATTAAATTAAAAGAATTAGATTGCAAGCATAATTATTATATAACTTAAAGTCGCTTGGTTATACTAATAGCTACAAAATGGACAATCAAAGAGTCAGAGCAAAGATGACACTTTGTGTGCAGAGTCACGAAGCAACAGTGAGACTGTGACTACTAACACTCTTGAAAAATCCAAGGTATATTTAAGTACAGCCCATTTTTAAGCATATTTGCAATTTTTGTCATTATTCATAATATAAACAAATATATTTCATAATACATCAGCAATAGTATCATATTAACAGTTGTTAACAATCATTCTTAGTTAAACGCTCGAATTTTAAATATTTGTTAGCTACATGCCACTTTGTATAACTCAGCTTAGGAAATGTTTTTATATATAATTTTCCTTTTTTTTTTTCTTAATTGCTTTAACATCTAACATATTTTCTAACATTTTTTTCATATTGCTCAAAATAAAATTAGAAATGAATAAGATTTAATACTAATTTATTAAAATCTATAAGATTTATATATCTCTTCTGATTATATTTGAGAGGAATATAACTGATAGATTGGAAATCACAAGACAGAGTTTGTAATTTATAGAATTAATAATTTGTTTTAATTATGATAAAAATATATAAATAATTCTA